GCGCTTTAACACACAAAAAATTTTACCTCTTTGATAAAAAATATTTCCCAAAACGCAAGGAAACCATATGAGTTTAGCTCCTTAAATCTTTTCTGACCTGAAGAGTGAATTGCTCTGAGTTCAGAGCTTTTAAAGTCATCATCTGCAGTATCTGCTATCAAATTCTAAAGTGGGTCTTGACACTGCTCTGAAAACTGTAAAGAAACCCTTGAAAAGGAAGTTAAAATTCATTCTTTTCGGATCTCTTCAAGTCTATGATACAACTATAAAGAGGAATTGAAGTACTGAATGTGGCTTCTGGTTTTTTTTTCTGCTCTGAAAAAGTCACTGAATACTAGGTTAAGTGGAGAAAATCTAGATTAACACTAGTAAATGATGCATCGTTTGACATACTTCGTTTACAAGTGGTTTTTTGTCATGAATTCGTTATTCTCGGTGAGTGCTTTGATTGTATTCGGCTGATAGACTCCAAGACGTTCTTGAAAGATCAATCTATAAGCGACCCTTTTTTAGTGGTACATAGATTAAGCAAACTTGACGTTACGCAACAATCGTAGTAGCAAAAAAGAATGTGATAGCGAAAAGAAATGCACGGCAGCTGTACATTCTTTTGTTGCTTCCTGTGCAGTCCATAAGAGTGGCCTCACATAAACAAAAGCAGAGATAAGATAAGGAAAGGTCATTTCGAAAGTGAAATGATGAATGAGCGACGAGTACAATTTGTGATTTGTTCTTATCATGAAAAAATTGCTCATCTGGAAATGAAATATGGATTTTCTTTAGTCTCTGAAAGCTCACTATTTTCAATTTCTAGTTAAGAGCTAAATATTTAGTTTAAAGAGTACTCAAAATAAGTAAACACAAGTAAGGAAGCGCTGCGCTACTCGCAAAACAGGATGAATAATCCTGGAATTCCAGCAGCGGTACGCTAGATTTGAATTTTGCTTTAGTAGAGCGCATCCGCCATAGGGCATTCGAAAAATCGTGACGATGGCGCGACCGCGCGTGACACGCACGCACCTCCCGGCAAACGCATCTTCTTGATTTTCATCTCTGTTTGAATGATTTTCTGCTTACATATGACAATATTCAGACATTGGAAGCGATTGAGCTAAGAGCTGAGGGTCTTTTTGTCTGAGAGTTTTCTGCTTCTGTGGACGCAAGGCCGCAGTCAATCCGTCGTCACGATTTTAAAAACGACCTTTATCTTTTCTCGCTCAGAATCAACAGAATCAATCCCACTATGCTGATGTGACATTGTGGTTTATGGTCAAGTGTATTTGATAAGATTTGAGTGCTCTTTTATAATTAACTAACGCGCTTAGAACGTGTGGCCCCATGGCCCAATTATTGTACTATTGCGGATTTCCAAAAATTTAGGAAGCGTTATGGAAACTTCGTCCTCTCTGAGATCTGTGAGTGAACTGATCGATTGGGAAAGATTCCTCGTCTTCTTTACAGTCTTATTGCTCATGGACCGATGAGAATTTTAATAAGCGTTACAAAGTATAGCTGCTGCATGACGAAGGCGCAATATCGTCGGGCGCGAACGCGGCTTTATTAGCTGCTGAGCGCATGAAGCGCAGGATTTACAACAGTGAGGATACGCGCGGGTCTCGTTCGCGCCCGCTCAGCTGATACTGCTTCTGCGCCTTCGTCATGCAGTAACCTTTACATGTTTCAGAAAGGAGATGGATCCAGTCTGATCCAGGCAGGGAAGGAAAGGTTTGGGAAAAGACCTCCAACAATAAGAATGGCACTCAATCTGTAAATGGAACCGTAATTTTCATATCCTTGCTAATATGAAAATTTATCAGTGAGCTTGAAGCATGCGATAAATTGACCTGTAAGCTGTATATCTTAACACACTTCTTTGACTGTCACAATCGTTAAGAGTGAGAGACTTTTATTAAACGTTCCTCCCATGTCCACTGCTTGATCGGATCCATTTCTAACTCGATATGCGGTCGAGTTGCTCCTTTGATAGTCACTTTTCCTCAAAAATGAGTGAAGTTTTCTCTTTTTCCCAGATATGATTACGCTTTGATAGATGCAAATGTTTTAATTAATTGTCCGATGTCTGCAAAGTTCCAAGCAGGGAATAGTCAAAATTTACCCAGCCATACCAAACATGCTGTATATTATCGAACTCGATTCAAAAAGCTGATCACAAATACTATGTCGGTCCGAAAGTTCGTCGTTTTTCAGACCCATGCTCAAATCACTTAGAGAGATGGACAAACGCCGTAAGCACTACCTGATGCAGAATTTCTTCCCCTTTCTAGCAGTTATGCTTTTGTCTAGATCCGTTTGATGACCGCACAAATAATCGTCGAAATCTGCAGCCCATGATTTCCATCCATCTTGAGTTTGGCTATTTTTTAAAATTTCCGCTTTCAACTTTTAAACTAGGTCTAATAACAGTTGGATAGAACAAACAAAATGCAGTAATTCGCTTCATTAACCAACTTTTCATTGATTCTTAAGATAATTTTTTCAAAAGCCCTCAGTTTTGCGAAGTAGCGAATTACACAATCGCTTCAAACAGTGACAAATCCTCGCACAAACTTCCAAAAACAAATTATGACGTAGCGCTAATATAAGCAAGCAACTGAGCTTTTAGCGGTTTAAAATATTGCATTCCGAATTTTCTGTGTACAGCCTGGGACGCGTCTGAAAACAGAAATTGTAATAATTTTGTCCTCAAACAACAAACAGATTAGGAAGAAAAAAATCTATCAGAAAGAGGAGACAAAGCTGCATCGAACACCTTGGTTGCCAGTCGTTTGTTGTTCTGTGACGATTGGAATGCCCAAACATGGAATTTGACAGCATCAGAAAAATATTTGTAAAGATTTTAAGAAACCGGCTAGAGAAGCCAGAAAACTGTAATGTGTGGATTTTGCTTATTCTATCCAACTGTTATCAAAGCTAGTCCAAAAGTTGGAAGTGGAAATTTCAAAAAATAACCAAACTCAAGATGGGTGAGAATCATAAGTTGGAGAGAGGAAGAATTTATGCATCAGAAAGTGCTTACAGCGTTTGTCTACCTCTACTCTAAATGATTTGAGAATGGGTCTGAAAAACGGCATTAAGTTTCGGACCGACGGACTAATATTAGGGTGTCTCATAATTTTTACGCTAATCATCAGCATTTCTTGAAAACTAGGCACCTACGAGGGGTACAAATACACGATTGTACTTCTGTATGTATGGACTATATGACCACGTGCGTGGAAAGAGCTCAGGATATCTAGGAGCGGAGTTTGCCATTCTACTTCATTCTTTTTTCTTTATTTCTAGCCATGCAAAAAGTCCGGAAACTGTACATCTGGATGTGCGATGCGTTAAGCATATGCTAGAGTAAACAGGAAGTTTTAAGTTTTTTTTGGAGCGAAGATACGAATTTTGACAGTGAAGTTCGTTTTTAACTGTTATCGGATTTCAGCTCAAAACATCCCGTACAATATGATCTGGGCATACTTTCAACAGCCATCTTGTAGAGCTTGTTTTTCCCTATCGATTGACTACCCAACCCAAATCAGTTGAAGAAAAGATACAAAAGGGTGAGGGTTGTGTTAAAAACGGTAAAAAATTATGAGACACCCTGATATATCTTACTATAATAACGCGCTAAGAGTGTCTACGTTTTTTTGTGTGTCTGTCTGTGTGAATGTCTGTCTGTCACGAAATTCATAGCGCGAGTTCCAGCCAATCTCCTGGAATTTTGCGCAGCGCATGCTACCCGCATGAAAGTCCAACATGCAACAGCACGAGCAGATTCGTCGCGTGGATCCCTCAGAAATTGCGCGTCAAACGGATCCACTTTGCATTTGGGCCGCAAAATTGGGTCCGTAATTTCACTTTTTGTAGAGTCGGATGGGATGTTTATGCCAAGTAAATGTGCAAGCCATGAACTTAGGCCCAAAAAGTGATCAAAAGTCCATTACTTTACAAAAACGGCGCCAAAAGGTATTGGTTGCGTAAACGCTCAATTTGCCAAGGTTTCACCGGAGCATTTGACGAGATTTTTGCACAAAGATGTAGCTCACAGTGACTGCTTTTCTTATTGCAAGTGTCGAGACCATGAGAAAATCAAAAACCTATAAAAATTTGCGGTTGTTTTCCTGCAAAAAGTCTCATCCACGCGAAATCACCGATTTCACATAAAAAAAGCTTTCGGAATGAGTAGCTGTTTACATTCTGTTCGTGATAGTCGGCATCGCTCGGTGAGTACCAATGCCATCATTATGCGAGAATGAGTAGGGCCTAGATGGTAGAGCCAGTGCGAGCCTCTGCGAAGCAGAGGTGACGCAGTGGTATTTAATATCTGCCAAGCACTGTCTGGAAAGAGTTATGGACGCTTAGTGCGCGTTTTGTCAAGTGTTTTGTGGCGCGCTTTGCACAAACAGGTTTCAAAAACACTTATTTGGATTTTTGGTGAATGTGCTTCTTCCTTTCACCTAAGATAAGCATGGCCACTGTCCGCTCCATCGCGCTGCTTTCAAAGAAATATACTCATTGAAACTCGAATAACTTCACATTTTTAAGCAGATAAAAACATATGCTTGAAATCGCCGTTTTAAGGCGAGTCCGATGATACACAGCTCGTTTCAATGGTTGGCTGAGTCCTCGTAAGTTCTTTCTTTCCATTGCTTTTCATTGACCACGTCGAACAACTCCAGCTTTCTCTTAACCTTTCATCCCAGAAGTGTTTGCTCGCTCATTTTAGAAACCGTAATTGGAACAGCAAATACATCATCAATAAGTAATTTGTTCAAATCTCCTCCAATGATCTTTGCTTCTAATGGAGAAAATTTTGAAAAATCTCCAGATAGTCCGCGGTGGAAGTACGCAGTTGTGGAGCTTCCTGCGCAATTTGCTGAAAATGATGTGACCATAAGCACACATAGGTTTAGCTTGCTCCTTGGAATAATTCTCATAAAAAACTTTATCGTGACATAGACATAAATAATGGCTGTTGCTATTATTCTATGTTATTCACAGAGAGTATTTACTACATTCGTTTTTTCTTCTATCAATGAGCGCTATGCCTGGAGGGATCTTGTTTCGCTCACGTCTGTGCGCAAGCTCGTTGTCGTGCCAGCTGTGGTAGTGGCGCGTTCATTCTTGGCATTTTCCATGATGACAGTGTCCATAAAGAGACCCTGAATGCTTATCTCGTATGTCAAGTTTACATCCCAAACCTGTAAAATCTCGTCTGTTGTAGTATCCCAGTATGAAGTTTTATATATTTTGCTTAATTGTCTGCATATATGCACTCAAATCGCTTACGGCAAAAGAACGGTTGAAGCTTTCTAACGTTTCAAATAATTACAGCATACCTTTGATTGCTTTTCCCTTTCTGTCTCTTCGAAGCTTTTGGAGTCATTTGGTCCCAATATCACACCGAGTATCCAGTGTCTGTTACGATTTCTGGTGAAGTTGCCAACTGAAGAGGTTTTGACTTTGCTAGTTCAGATTTATTGTTGCTTGCTCATAGTAAAAACTTACAAATATCGGCTTCGCCATCGTCAAATGACCTTTGACGAGGATAAAAGAGGATTACTCTTGCCCAGTTGATACCTTTTGTGTCTTGCATGGCTTGCTTATGCAATCCTAGGAACGTTGTTTCGAAAGACTTTCATGGAAAACGCAATGAGCATGAAATGCATTGATAACTGCGAATCACACTCTGTCTCATATGGAGTGAGCCCGACACGAGCGAGCGCCTCGGGTCTTGCGCGGCCGCCTTCGAACAGACCCCCTGCGCCGCGTTTACGAACAAGTTTTCTAACCATTTTTCCACGTCTAGTTAACGACTAAACTCGCCTAAGTTTTTTCACACACTCAAAATTTCATTCGCAGACGCGGGCAGAGTCTAGAAGAGGCGGTCGCGCGGGAGCCGAGCCGCTCGAGTCGGGTTCACCTCAACTGACTGAGAAGAGGGTAGAAGTGCAGTTGAATTCCTTTTGAATACACGTTATTTTTTGATCAATAGCAGTCGAGTGCTTACTATCGTAATGCTGGACCCATGTGTTGGGGATGAATTTCGGTGTAGAGAGCATAGTTTCCAGCATAGCTGCCTTGAGCTGAAATTGCCAGTCGGTTTTTTCAGTATCTTTCACAGATACAGTGAGTCTCAGGAATCCTAACTATCACACTGATGCAAACTCTTGTATAATTCGAACAAAGTTCAATTATCTTTTGAATTCCTGAGAATGCATTCGATAATTTGTAATTGAAATAAAAGGTTTGTGCTCTACGATAGCTGCTTAATTTCAACTTTTTATTCGTTAGCTTCGGAGAGGAGCGTCTCAGATTTTCACACACATACAGTGCTGGCCATAGCTATAAAGCCACCCTAAAAATCACTGTAATTTGCTCTCTTTTGTTCGAAATTGTCTGAAAGACCAGTATTCTGTGTGCAAACTAACGTCATATCATTAACCAGGACGGCTCCCAATTTCATTGGTTTTGGCCGGAAAAAAATTGGAAAATTTGAAAAAAGGGGTTTCCAAGGCTGGTCACAGCTATAAAGCCACCTCTCATTTCTAATCAGTACTACGTTTTTTGAAACTGAAACTTTCTGTATTTATACAACATCAAAATATAAAACATTCATCACACTTGGAAGCAGTCGCCCTCTTAAAAAAAAATTCATTCTGCATTTTTTGCTTCAAAATGTATAAAAAGTTACAATGTTTGAAAAAACCGCCTTTTCACCGAATTCTCAAGCATTTGTTTGACTCGAATGAAAGTCCTGGGCTTCGCCGAGCCTTTGCCATGAGTATGTTGAAAAGCGCAGGAGTCAACATGGCGTAGTCGCTGATATTGATAAACGAGCCCCAACCTCACCTCCAAGTAGATGAGTTTTCGAAACGCAGAAATTGAGTTCTAATGCCCGAAAAGCTCTGTCACGTGCTCAGCACGTCGGCTGTACATGACTCGTGCGCATAGCTTGAACGTCATCGCAACTCTCAGGATTTTATTCCGTCTTGGACGCCTTTTTTCCAAAAATGAGTGGTGCATTTCGCCTGATCATGACACACTCTGACCTCTCGATCGAGCGGAAAACCGCTCAAAACTTCAAAATTCTGGTATTCTTGACAGTTTTGGAAAAGATTTGACTTGAAGAGGAGTTCAAACAGTAGAATTTGAATTTAGAGTCTTGTGAGATACATTGCGCACCACCGAACTGCAGACAAAGCGTTCTAACAAGGGAGGTCGAATCAGTCGAAGTGGCCTTTCCAAATGGGTCATACACCATTTTGAAGAGCGTTGAACGCTGATTCCGAATCTGCCTTCATTATCTGCCGAGCGCTTCTAGACGTCGAGTTATAAAAATTTTTTGGAGCGAAAAATGAACTCAGAATTCAAGTAAAATTAACTATTACGGACTTTTCAGCGCCTAAATAGAGCAACATGTAGTATGAGTGTTTTGGACAGAAGGTATCCTTTGTAATGGAGTGCTCTGATAACCAACTTCGGACCATTTGAGCAATTCTGACGAATTTTGCTCTAATTACGCATTAAATTTTTCAACCAAAGGAACGCTCATAACTCGGCGTCCAGAGGCGCTCGGCAGATAATGAAGACAGATTCGTAATCAGCGTTGCATGCTCTATAAAATAGTATGCATTTCATATGGAAACGCCACTTCGACCAAGTATCCTTCCCTTGTAAGTTCAATGCTGCAAATACGTCTTTGTAAAAAGCCTGACAGCTTCTGTGCATGAGTATTCACCATGCAAGCAAAGTGTCAACTTCCAACCGAAAATTTTCGCGCGTCAGAAATCGAGTTTTGCGTCTCAGAAGCGTGCTTACACCTCGGTAAGATGAGGCTTGTTTATCAATATCAGCAATTACGCCATTTTGACTGCTGCGCCTTTCACCATATCCATTGTAAAAGCTCGGCGAAGCCCAGGACCCTCATTCGAGTCAAACATATGCTTGAGAATTTGGTGAAAAGGCGGTTTTTTCAAACATTATAACTTTTTATCATTTTGAAGCAAAAAATGCATAATGAATCTTCTTTTTAAGAGAGCGACTGCTTCCAAGTGTGGTAAATGTTTTATATTTTGATGTTGTATAAATACACAAAATTTCAGTTTCAAAAAACGTAGTACTGATTAGAAATGAGAGGTGGCTTTATAGCTGTGACCAATCTTGGAAACCCCTTTTTTCTAATTTTTCAATTTTTCTCCGGCCAAAACCAATGAAATTGGGAGCCGTCCTGGTTAATGATACGACGTTAGTTTGCATACAAAATGGTGGTTTTTCAGACATTTTCGAACAAGAGAGAGCAAATTACAGTGATTTTTAGGGTGGCTTTATAGCTATGGCCAGCACTGTAGTAGTACTCTGTGCATTACTGTCGCAGCCTTTATCTCGAATGATAATGCAAAAACAAAAAATTCTTCAGAAATGCCATTTTGCAAGAAAATCCTTATTGAATTTTTCAACATAACACATTTTCACATCCATGAAAATCTCATAGTTTCTACGTAATCACTAGGTCAAAGCGAAAAAAATGCACTGTCAAGAGAACTTTCCTTTAAAATGGCATTTTTTATTTGTTTTTGCATTCTTATGCGATATCAAAGCCTGCCACAGTAATGCCACAGTAACGTGTTGCAATTTTCCAGGGCTATGTGGGCGCTCTATGTTTTTTGCAACAAATTCAAAATCACAAATCTAGAAATGCCCTTTTTGGAAGTTTGGTCCTCCTAAACTAATAAAAGGATGCGAATAAGCAGCTGTTTGAGCGCAATAATTCTCCTGTTTTTTGAGGTACAAAGCCTTAAGTTTAGGTTTATTGGAAGTTTACTTGATTTACGCAAGAGCTTCTGCATCAGCCTAATTTGATGTCTGGTACGGATTCTGATTACTTACCGCTTTCCTTTTTTCTATTAGCCGCTTCGTCTCCGGATCTAAATTGGCGCCGTGTGTTTGTAGATACTCAATTGTCTTGTCCAGTACACGATCTAGTACATTCAGCACCTCAAAAGCAAGTAGGATTTTTGAAGTTAGCACCAATCATCTGGGATTTGAACATACATTTTGGTCATACGGGATTTTTCCAGAAAAGAATTTTGAGACAATCTCATTTTCTTCTTTTGTCAAAGTCTTTTCAATGGCCTAGATATACATCAGTATGGTGCATGTGTGAATGGCTAAGGAGAAACTTACCTTTTCTCTGTGTGCAATTTTGAGAATCTTCTTTGCCGCCTCCAGTGTTCTCCTCTTAAAGTCATCCATATAATTGAGGTCATTAGAATTGACGAAAAGCTGCTTACATCACTTGCACCAACTCCTTCAACACTTTCTGTGTCAAAATCGCCTAAGACTTTTGTAAGATCTACATCCTGAATATGACTAGAGTGTCAAAATAGCTTCAGTACAGCTCATGCATGGTTAAAGAGGTCGCCAAACTGCGTCGCTTTGCCATATTTAGAGTGTACGCTGAATCAAAAGCACCATTCGACTCAGCTCAACGAGTTGCGTCGCCCGTTTGGGTACGGTAGGTACGGTGCACGGTGGGCGGGCAGGTTTCACAAGTCATTCCAGATTTTTGATAACGGTAGGTTACCCAGTATGCTTATGTACTGCACACTGAGTAAGCTATAGTAAGCTTATTTATTGCATATGAGCTACCTACCGTTGGCCAGAATCTGTGAAACCTGACCGCCTACCGTATCCAAAAAGGCACTTTCATATATCAGAAGATGCTCCTCGCCGAGTCAGGCGATGTCCTTAGAATCAAAGTTATTCGCTCTCTCCGAATCAAGAGATACGTATGGTGATGCGCGAATTGTACCTCTTACCTCTTCTAGCTCTGCAAATATGTCATCTCTCTTACTCCTTGCATCGTCGGCTGGTGTTGTGGTTGTTGTTACTGGAGCAGTGGTGGAAATTGTTTCGGGACTTCTGACAGGACTTTTCTTCTGAAAAAAGTAAAAACGTTTGACGTTTATAGATTGGTATTTGCAAGTATGGCAATCGTTACGAGCACAGCAAAAAGTTCTGTTTATAGCTCAAGGTTTTGTGTTGGTGAGGAGAAAATATTTTTCTCGCTAGTCATCACCATTTTGGATCTTCAAATTGGAATTCTTCCTTTCAAAGGTAATTTGCAAAAAAACGGTTAAATAGTGTGCAAGAGAGGCTCTCACTCAACTGTTCACTCGAAAGTAATTTATACAGAGATGTGCACTGGGCCTCATACTTAAAGCATTCACGACAATACGACCCACCCATGGGTCATAAGATTCCTGAAACCCTAGCTTTGCCAGTTTACAATGAAATTCTACGGGATTCTAGCATATGATTGAGGACACTTTGGCGAAGCTCCTACCAGAGTGGTCCGGCTCGAGATAGTGTAATGTAATGTTACGGTAGGTATACCGTAGATAAAGTTAAGGCACAGGCTTTAGCTTAAATTTTTCGCAGAGTGGCGCTGTTTTAAAAATTCAAGTTTACATGCATGAGAACTACGGGGAGAGCATGACACTGATGTTAACCCATAAAAAAATCGATTTTATTGATTTTATTGATTTGTTCATTGTTCATCCCAGGAAACTCAAACCTTACATATATAAATTTTGCAGCATGCTGATTACGAAAATGATAGTCTGAAGTTTTAATACCACCTTCTTATACCAGTTTCTTGATTTTTACGAAAATTCTATAATACTGCTGCCGTAGTCTAACTGTAGGAAAGTACTGAACAAAGTGCGCACTATAATCGTGATCATCACATGAAATAACATCAAAACACAATTTTCCTTGAAGATCCATGTTGTCGGGTTCGTACAGAATGACTATCATATCTTTACCGTATTGTGCCAAAAACCGAAATAAATCATTTTTTGATTATCAGCGCCTTCGATGACCCTTGTGGGGAAATTCTCGGAGACATTTTTAGTTTTTCGAAAAAACTACCGCTCCGGATACGACGCACAGGTGGGTCGTAAGTTTGATAAAGCGAAAAACCTTCTGGTTCGAAACAGCAATAGTCGAAAAATCGGCCTTGTCGTGAATGTGTTAACAGCTACAAACGAAGTTGAGAGTTCTCGTTTGGGTTATGGCTTTGTTGAATCTTTTGTCGAGTCAAAAACAACGGGAATATGTTGCGAATTTTCTTGCGCCGAAATTTTGGAACTGTTGTGGTTGCTGATTTGGAGTCCTTCGTATATTTTGGAGGTGTGACTAATACTAGCCTGCTCTTTAGCTTTTTCTTCTAGGGCCTTTTCTGGAGCAATGGAAAGAGAAGTTGAATCCTCTGTCGGTGCCGCTACCAAAGAAGGAGGTCCGCCTTCGCCTTCCTTGGGTGCAATCGCGAGAGAAGTGGAAGCTTGTGTGGGCTCGCATTGGATTGAAGAACTTTCACCTTCTTTGGGAACAGGTGGTGTCGTGGTTTCTTCTCCCGGGGCTCCTTCCTTTGTACTTTCCTTACTTTCCTTCTTTTTTTCTGACTTCTTCAAAAAGCTCCGGAGTTGAATTACTGTGACTGCAAAGTTAATCATAAGCTTACTTCTGCACTAGAGGATCGCCTCCGTTTCTTATGTTTTGACTTGCGCCGCCGTTCCTGAATTCCGAAGTATCGTTCATATTGTATACATGTGGATGGAACAAAATGATGATTAAATACGAACTAATCTATGCAAATATCTAAATTATTCAAATATCTGTCTGAAAGACTAACGTTGTTTTAGGTTTTCTTCGTAGTCACAAAATCAAATGTTCAACTTTGCGAGGCTATGACATCCCAAAAGCCCCTGGGCACCTCAAAGTCATGACGGTTGTCATGCGATATGGCGTTCCAGGTGTTTCCAAAAGTAGTACTGCGGATCACAGCAGTATGTATCACACTATATGAAAGAGACAGTGGCGTACCCAGGATTTCGGCTCGGGGGGGGGGGCAACAAAAATTTTTTTCTAATGAAGGTGCGTGGCGTCAGCCACACACTCCGAAAAAATTTTTGGGATGTTTTCCAAAATTTTTTCGGGCCTCTGGCCTTCAGAAAAAGGGGGCGTGGCGACAGCCACGCCCCTGAAAAAATTTTTTTACAAGGCTAATTTGAATTTTTAAAAATTTTTAAAAATTATTTTAATTATTTGCAGGTAAAAACAAGTCCTCTGCACATTTTTATAACTCATTTAAGTAACTTTCAAAATTCGCGACCCATTTTCGGGGGGGGGGGGCGCCCCTCCCCCCCTCGCCCCTCCCCCTCTCGGTACGCCACTGGAAAGAGATCGTATTTTTATGCACAGTTTCATGATGAGTTACAATTGGAGTATTGCCAAATCGCTTGGCAACCGGATTAATTGAGGTGTTTCTGGGGTTCAAAGAGTATATGGATTTTGAATTTCGGAACTTTTTGTAAAACTGATTGGGAGGCTTTAAAGGCAGCGTCCGGGCAAAATCTCGAACAAAATTTTTTTTTCGCTTACCTGGCCTTATTCTTCCCGTTGATTCCGAAAATGCAGCTTGCGGAGGATGAAGGTGTCGAAAAAGGGCATTTCCAGAAGCAGTTGATTTTGATGACGCTTGCCGCCCAACTTAAGACGCAGAGTCGCGTGCTCGACATAGTACTCTAGCTAGATTGAAGGGGCGGACACGTCGCCGGGGCGGTCCTGTCGCACTTCTGAAGCGTTTTCTCGCTTCAGAAGCAAAGTGTTGCAATGCCACTTGGGCAAGAGCTCCACCAGGCCGAGAACCCCTGTACGCTACAGTTTCGTTTTTGCCCGGACGCTGCCTTTAATCAAACCGTTTCTTGTTTGTGCTGCAGCTCATATGATTTGCTCGTGGCTTTCGCCCAGTACCATACCTGAGCATGCTGATTGGTTTGCTAAGGGAGACTATAACTTTTGGCCAAAGTTCTGCGTTGCAGTACCACTAATGACTTAATTTGAATTTCGTATGGGCAGTAGTAACAAGCAGTTGGCCTTTTAATCAGTGTCCATAGCAGAAGACAGGTACACCAGGTACTTTAATTTGCGTGGACATCACCTTCTACATGGCAACACTGATAAGACTGGTAGGACTAAGGACACCAGCTATGATGACAAGGGTAATGTAGGTATCAAGTGTGTTTGCTTATTTTCACTGTATTTATCTTAATTTTCCCGTTATGGTCCGCCGCCTCAACATGGCATGGGGGCGGCCCTTGGTGTCGAACTGCTATGTACACCCGAAATATACTCTGGTAGGGCCTCTGAAGCTGTGAAGGAGTTTAACATTTCCGGTTTCGGCTGGATGCGGACTAGGCCAGATTCCCTGCCGTCCGGTTTTTCTAATCTCTGGGCGGTCCACCCACATCTGGTTAGCGATCGCCCCGTAGAAATCAAGAGTAGGTGGTAAGCTAGGGGAAAACTCTTACTCCATCAGCAAGAAGAAGAGAAAGGAACCTGTATACTGGAAGTCACCTACGGCGGGGTGGGGGCAGGTAACGATGCTAGGGTCCCTAGGACGCCTTTTGGATTGAACACGACACGTCGCTGAGAGTCCTCATGCTGTCGCTTAAAATGCAACAGTATCCACTTCTGCGCTCTCCTCGACACTGCAGAGCACACTAAGTTGCACGTCTCTGCAGGAAACGAAGACCCGGAAGAGGCCCGCGACAGATGAGTGATGGGATCTCATCATTTGTGGTGAAAAAGTTCCATCACGTTGAAGGCGGTGGTCTCGTCATCCATTAGTGTATCGTCCACCTTGTCGGTTCGCAAAGAATCTGTTACCTAGGCTAGCCATCCTACAACTGCGACCTCCACATCAGAAGCCATCAGCATCATCACTACTCCATATCATCACGAGTGACGAATCAGAAATAGATGTTTTCTATGAAGACGTGAAAGAGGTCGTCCGCAACGAGAATTCCTTCTACTAGCATGTTGGCGACTTCAGCGCAAAAATCGGAATGCCACCAGAAGAGGAATTAGGATCGGGATTTGTATATGGGCTTCGGACGAAAACAGCGGCCCTCCCCTTGTGCTTCTTTCTGCCGCATGTTTTCGCTAAGATTTCCATGTTCGTTAAGAGAGAAGATCGCCATGAGGATCGCCCTACACAACGACTCGCGCAGAGACCAACCACATTTTCAAACGAGGATGGAGCTTGCTCTACGTTACACTAGTTCCATTCTTTCGCAGTGGCTCCGATCACAGCCTCCTTCGAGCGAATTTACGACTTAGTCGAAGGCTGGAAAAGAAGGTCTGCCACGGTGTCACAAGAAAGAAGCAATTCGTGTTTATACGGAAACAGACGGAAGAGCTCATATCAAGTTGTGACTGGCCCATGGAGGAGGACCCACCTACAACTACGATCGACATCTGAAAGGATTGCGAGCCTGCGGAGAGTGTGCCTCAGTGACCTCTGAGAAGAACATGGAACGCATTTTAAAACTGCTGAGGAATTACTATAAAAAAAGATCCTTGAGGCAGGATTCATAATAAGTCTCGAGCGACTGATAGCCGACGCCAGTTGCAGAGCAGCTCCAAGAGGATCTCAAGAAGCACAGGCAAGATAAGATACTGGTAACAACTGAAGAAAGATGAAGTCTCAAGAAGTGCCTCTGTGAACATCATTTGCCGCTGGCTGCATTAAGGAACAAAGCCGGGACCGCGACTTCTTCCCAATTTAAGATTGATTCTATTGCGAAGAATCTCCACGCCAACCTCTTCCGCTTCAACACCCGTGCCGATGTCCGTTGTTCCCACTGAAGAAGCATCACCAAGAATTCTACCTGTTGAAGTGCGTACCTCGCAAACCGTGGAGACGTCTAAGGATCCGGAACTAGATCATCATTCCATCGAATTTGTGCGAGCCGCAAGACAACGTCTACACGTTCGCGAGTCTCATCTAACATCTTGCCTTGAGAGAAAAAAGATTTCATCAGTGGAGAACTTTGGAGACGGCTCATTCCTTCGAGAACGAATGGGAAAATTATCGAAACCACCTTCCGATATGCCTGCTGAGTGTGTTTACCGGCTTTCCAAGATTATATTCGTTCACGTATCTTGGACACTAGATGAAGTCCAGCCGAAAGAGTAAACTGGATTTCGTAAATTTAGCTGCATGGCGGACGGACATCAAGACGGTTTCGACAGTTACAGAAGGTCTGCCGGGATCGACTGCCTCTCGTCCTAACTTTGACCACTACGAAAAAGCCTTTGACAGCATCGACATCATCGCTATTCTGTGAGAGCTAGTCGACCACGGACTGGGCCTAACTTAAAGGCAGTGTCCGGGCAAAAAGTCGATCTTGAGGTTTTTTGCTTACTCAGACCTATTCGCTACGCATCCGAAAATGCACATTAAAGGCAGTGTCCGGGCAAGATGGGGTTTCGGGATTTCAGTGCTTTGCGAGACTGGCCCCCTCAGACACAACATCGCGCAAGTGCCACGTCATAACGCTCGACCTAAAGTAAGAAAATCACCGGAAAGTGGGGAAACTTACGCCTTGGAGCGGGCGGGGTCCTCCGAGCTGTCCGAATCCCTGCCATGCGGCAGAGTACGCATGCCGCCACAGTTAGAATGTAGGGTCCCGCAGCGACTCTGCGTCTCTGCCCTGGCGGGGACCGTCGACTTTCAAATTGTGCGGTTTTGAAACGTAGTATGTTTTCGCCGTTTTCGCGCCTTCTATTTTGGATTTTCGGACTCAGCGTTGCGGATAACCCCCGGTAAGTGCATTTTCTAGAAATCGAGTTTTTGCCCGGACACTGCCTTTAAAGAGCGCGAAAACGGCGAAAAACGGCTCTAACACGGGAGGGAAATCAGCAGGTGGGCGGGGTCCTCCCCACTGTGAATTCACGCTTCCAGCTTCCAGCGCGATCTTCTCGGTTCCGATTCCAAGTCATGCATTCGCACCTGGGCGGTGGAGATCTCAGAGCGCTAGAGGAATTGGGAAGATCGCTCCAGAAACTGGGACTGCGAAATTCACAGTGGGGAGGACCCCGCCCACTTCCGATTTCCCTCCTGCGTTAGAGCCATTTTTTTACCATTTTCGCGCTTTCCAATGTGGATTTTCGGATTCAGCGTAGTGAATAGGCCCGGGTAAGCACAAAATGGACTTTTTGCCCGGACACTGCCTTTAAGCGGGTCGTTAGCCGGCTGCTACAAGGAGTCAACGAGGATGCAACATTTCATCACCGCCTGACCATTCCAGTGAAGGCTGTCCGTAAGGCGACACAATTTTGCCGAAGCTGTTCACCGTGGTCCTCCAGTGGGTGATGAAGTCACTGGACTGGGACGAGAGAGGCTTACAATTAACTGGAAAATTCCTGTCGAACTTTTATTTTGCGGGTGACGTCATTCTCCTTTTTGGGCAGTTTCACTGAAGCAGAGACAATGCTGGAGAAACCAAACGAAATATGGAAGAGATCTGATCGCTGTTTAGTGAGAAAAAGACTCAGTTCATGAAGAACTTCCATTGCTAAGATAGGCGCGGAATTGGAAGTGAAAGGTACTTCTATTATGAAAATTCTCCTTACGTGTACCTTGGACTTCAATGTACATAGAGAACGACTCGAAGGAAGAACTTAACAGGAGAAGAGCAGCCTGTGCCGCACTCGGGTCTCTGAAAAGCCACCTACCAACTAACGGACCCGGAGCTTCGAGCCCACTTGTTCGACTCAACGTCCTCCCGGTGCTCTGTGATGCAGCTAAGACTTGAGCTGACACTGTAGCCACGTCGTAAGCTCTACGGACAACCACGGAGCGCTTGAGCGCAGTCACTAAGCGACGACAACCAAGAAGATAGTGGTTTTTTTGAAGCGAGGGACGGAAACATGGAAACTTCTGGCTGGGGTCTTCATGTCACTTGTAGGGCCCTCCAAGTGAGTATATTAATCTCAGTTTTGGAACTCTTCCTAGCAGAAATGGCTGCTGTGTCAGGAGTGAACAGAAAGCAGTGTTTTTAAGGCAGCTATATGCTTAATCTTTACTACATGTTTGAACCCCTCGGAACCAGCTCTAAAAAATAAGGCGGAATCTACCTTGTTTGGGCTGTCTTCTCGCTCCGCCGGGGTTTCTGTCTTCCATCTCAACTTCCTAAAGCATTGGTCTCCGTTGTGCTTAGAAAATTGTCATATTTGGTTAAGTACAGACCGAGTGCGCATATGGCATACTGCAGGATGCACTTCGAAGCTCATTTTTTCCATGTCTGAATAGTCCATCTCTGTATCATCGGCTTCAACAAATATGCTGAAATTGTCGCAATAGTCCGCGCACATATTTAGCAGAGAGATCCAACCCTCGTTTTCTCATCTCTGCTCTTTTCTGTTCCTTTGTCATCGGCTTCTTTTTTGGCATTGTGGGAGGTGGCTTCTTGTTCTTGATCAGAAACTCCTCGTAGCCTTTTTGGACAAAATTTGCAGAAACTTTGTGACCTAAGTATCGCAGCAGTAAAGTGAGTTACTGTTGCTTCAAACTTCTAGAGCACTTCAGCGGACACGAGCTAGCTCACCAAGTTCGGTACCAAGCATCTCTGTGAACCTTGTGGTGGCGAATTTGAGATGAAATGAAACTTATTGCAAAAAGTGCGCTTATATATTGTCAAGCTTGTGATAAGCCTTAACTTATGTCAGCTGATCATCATTTCGGAAAATTAGTTCCTCTTGAACAAGTATGATGCAAATGAGACGCAAAAAAGTGAAGGATGGCTTTCTCACTACAGCATTTCTCTGTCAAATCTCTAACATAGAAGCACCAGAAACCTATCCGGATTTTGGATGGTTCAGTAAGTTTATGCTTGGATCTAGGGTCTCTGAAATAGAAAAATTCCTAAATTTTTTTCTTCTTAGGTGTGACTATCGATAACTCATTTTCTACAAAAACTAATTCTCTCCACTCCTCTCCTCTAATCCATCTCCACCTCCGCTGCAGGGTATTTATTCTCCGACCACCGAGGGTACAAATATATTTATTATCTGCAATGATGTAACGCTATACAAAGACGTAACATAGTAGTAGCAGAATTTCACAAAAACAGCGATTTACAAACCCGATAGCAAGAAAATCGATGCGCCGGGATCACACATTATTTCTGGTTGTTTTATAATTTGAATATTATAACGCCGCCTTGATCCACCTCACTGCTAAAAACAGACCCGACACATAAGCATACATAATCACCGTTAGTATTGGCCCCATGGCCTGACACAAAGAAGTAAGAGTTTGCGAGATCTCAATAACACTGTCCTAGGTGTCTTGTTCCAAGTTTTCTTGATTATCCGGGCTTTTTCTCTCTGTCTTCACTTTCGAGATATGATTTGCTAGGAGAAATTCGAATTTCATGGCATCAAGCTCGGTGTGTGACCTAGAAAAAGAACGCTACACATTGAAGTGCAGATAAAGGCGGTTCAAGAATACCTCATATGACTTCGAATTCCTCGCAGACTGAATCCACGGTAGCCACAGAGTCGGCACACATATGCTTGCACTTCGTTATGGACTGTACGCACATGTACGGATAGTTGTGAAAGCGAACCGGGTTCATAGTCGCATTGGTTGCATCGAGTTTTGATCTGAAGCAAAATGAGTGGTAGAACTCCAGAGGTAATAAGTTTTATCCTTCCTAAACAGTTCATTTTTTTACAAGCGGGAGTTTGGAATCAATGTTTGATATGTGATTCAAGAAATAGCCCTAGTTTCCTTAGTTTCTATCTAATTTCGTAGCCCTTCCGGCCAAAATACTTTGCAGTTTTACGCAAGAAAAATCGCAAATTTCTGAAAGCGGCCTAGAAGAGCTAAGAAATTACATTAGAAAAGACTGCTATATTTCGTATTCTACTCAGCGTACTTCTCTTCTAAATAGACTGAAATATACTAACAGAAAAATCTTACATTTTGTTAGGTTATCACTAACAAACTAGGTTATCACTATACTCTTGTAAGAACAAGGGTATGGCTGTCGGTACGACCACTCTTTATCTCAGAGTGAAAGCTTGCAACTGAGAATTGCTTGGAAGAATTAGGATAGAAAGGCCTTGGTTACTGCCAAGTCCCTTAATCAATTATTCTGTCACCCCTCCCCCCTCCCCTCTCGACAAAATTTCGCGTCACAGAAAAGGAGACCAAGGCCACAAATCTCTTCTTTCTCCTTCATTCTTTAATTCAGCTATCGTTTTTCTATGGATTCACCTTTTTCGGTGGCTCTTTATTGTCATCTCTTCTCTCCACCATTTTACAGTAGTACTGCTTATGAGCTTTTAGTGTCTCATCCGCTGAGAATGACACACCACATGCGCAAAGGAACGGCTTCTCCATGTCCGAATGAGAAGTCTGAATGAAGAAAATTTTTTTCATCATTTGAGTTGTAGGAAATGTATCACTATGTATAACAAACTGACACGAACTGAATTTCCTGGAGTGGTGGTGCCGGAGCTTCCAGAATCTTCCCTTCTTCTCTTTGATAAATCTAGAGGCGTTGATATGGGTCGTTCAATAGTACGCTTTAGGCCAGTCAGTCCACTAAGATACTTGCGATAGTATCATTAATGTTGATTTTATTTTCTTTACCTCATTCCCACAGGAAGTACTGGAATGGTAACTGTCAAATCTCCAATGGCAAATTTTAGTTGTGGAGGCGGTTGCACTGCCCCACAGAGACTTCTTTGCACTATGAGTGGTTCTGTAATAGGTATGGCCAGTTGTGGAACTCCATTCGGTGCTACAGAGGGTCGTCCTATGGCCACTGGCACGATAGTCTGAGGTGGTCCGAGGAGCTGAAAAGTGTATGGTTGGAATCTCCGATGGGTTTCCCCAGGATGGACCACATTTTTTACCTGGACCATCTCATGCTGATGATCATGATAAGCGATCGGTACCAGAATTACATTCGGCGGTGCGATCCCCGTCTGTCTATTGATACTTGGCAAAAAAGACGGTGGAGGTGCTGCTATCAACACTGAAATCAATCGAAGTTGAGTGATAGCTATTTCCGGTTGACTTTTTTCTGAGAGCGCAGGAAGCCATGAGAATTCTGCTCATTGCAGCACTTCATCAAAAAGTCCCTCAAAACAATTGTCCGTACGCTGCCGCTCAGACAACGATGTCGATGGCAACGGCGGCAGTTCGAGCTGCTGCAGAGATCGCAGATAAGCATGAGATGCAGCCGATAGATATGTGCCGAAGGCGCTAATACACTTTCAAACTAACGCAATTTTTCAAATGTGAAGGAGCACTTCTGCGAAAACAGAAACAGCAGAAATTCGTTTTTTTTTGGATTGAAAAAAAAGAAACATGAATTTTGGGGCTATGACATTCGGAAGGGGCGCGATCACTTACCGCGTTGATTTCCTTTGCAGTAGAATTTTTGATGTGCGGAAAGGTTGTCGATGTTGTTGAACTTTGCGATGTGGCATTTGGGGCATGGATATCCTGAAATTTTTTCGCAGTAGTTTTCTAAGCAGCGTCCACAGCAGTTTGTTCACAAATTCACAGCGTCATTTTACAATGGTTAGGGCGTGCGGATTTTCGCGACCATGAAGATGTGGGTCATTTCTATGCAGAACCGCAGTCGCGAGTGGCACACCCTGCAGGACCGATCAAGAAGGAAGGAAAGTTTCGCGTGCGCGACGTGTTGTGCAGCAGTATGGCCACTTACTGTCGTGCAAAACGGCCGCTCCACAAATCAAGAAGAGGGAAGAAAAATCGAGCAAATGGATTTATTCTGTTCAGCTGGCGCACTGAGGCATGTTATTTTTGACTTCGCACTTTTGCGGAGAAAAAACTAATTGTAAGCGGTCGGGGAAATTTTTTTCCGGGGAAGGGGGGTGGGGGAGGAGGAGCAGCAATGATTTTTATCAATACGCGTGGCGCTAACCATCCCTCTCCTACCGAAAATTTTTTCGAGATATTTTCCGAAATATTTGCGAATTCCCGAAGTTTCAAGAAAAGGGGCCGCACCCTCGAAGGTTTTTTAAAAGACTAATTTGAATTTTTAGAAATTTTGAAAAACTGTTTTAGTCATTCGCCACTAAAAATAAGTCACCTGTACAGTTCTTTAACTCATGTGCGTTACATTCAAAAATTTCGCGACCTGTTCTAGGGGAAAGAGGATCGCCATTGCTTTTTTTTCCAATATAAAATATTGTTGAAATGGATTGTTATAGTATTTATTTCACAAAGAGGGAAAAAATTTGAGCATATGGATTTATTCTGTTCAGCTAACGCATTGCGTCCGGTCGGTCACAAGTCTTATTTTCTGACTAAATATAGGCGTCATGAGCTAGCAACTGAAACTTCTCAAAGCATTTGGGGAATTGGAAAACATCAGAAGACATTATGAAATGTGCCGCGTTACTTGTGTGTATGCGTGAGTGTAACTTCCTTTCAGTATCTAAATGAGTCTTCCCGGAAGTTGATAGAATCATCATTTTTTTCTAAATAACTCACTTTTCTCAGTGGTATCTTCTGAGGCTGTAGATGGTTGTTGCTGGGGCAAAAAAATTGCCACCAAATCTTCACCACGTTTCACATCTCGCGTAATCAATATTTGAATGAGTGATTCTGAAATATGCAAATTTTCAAACGTTCGAATCGCTCTTTTTATTTTCTACAAGTCTATTCGGTATCACTGAACATTTTTACAATGAGTAATCGTCTGAAAATCTGGAACTCGCAAACTTGCTAATGTTGCATTGATAAGGGTGCAAGCTGCAAACAACGAATGCGCGTAAATTTTGTTCTCCGATGACCGCAGATGTTTATTTGAACTACAATTCCTTAACGTCCCTAGGGCCTAGAGTGGAGATTATTAGCAGTACTAGCTTGAATTTTTCAGCTATCACTGTGATAAAAGTATTCAAGATAAGCGCAATATCAGCGCATTATCGTTGTTATCAAACGTAAACTAGGTCGGTTGGATGCTGTAATGCTATTGATTAGAAAATTCTTTGTTGTACGAGTCCAAAAAGTTGCGAAGACTGGCTGTTGACTCTTTCAAATCGTAATCCAAGTGCTTACCAACGTGAAAAACGATGCAGTTGGCCTCGAGGGCGTTTGGACAAGGCTTGATGCGTTTGATGATAGGGTCGATGGAATCCACATCAAAGTAATGTTGATTGCCAAGTTGATCCATTAGCTGAATCAGAAATGATGAAAATATTTCAAAAAATATCTTTCCTTTGTGAAAACAAAGGATTTCAGCAAGGGATCGTGTTTGAAGCGGATATTGTTTAAATAAATATAGGAATGTTTGATGGATTTTCATTCATTCCGGCGATATCTTTACGAAGTTTGTGGAGGAAATCTTTATGTCTTCAGCGACATTCTTTGACCCTTACTTTTTTGGAAAAATCTTTTTGCTGTCTATCAAGTAACAACTTTGATTTGTGTTCGCTAGCGTCAGTCCGAATGCGACATTTTGGCCATTTTTCAGCTTCTAAGTGAATCACTGAAACTACCAAACCAACCCTTCAGTTTCACTTTTTTTATGGCTTTGGATGTTATTTTCTGGGTTTGCGAAAACTTCGTGAGCACAAAGCAAGGTAGTTTTATTACTGAAAACTTCGCATGTGTTGAGTTTGGTGATTGCAAATCACGGGTTCCGCTACCATCAATTTTTTTTCTGTTAAGAACTAAGCGATGTGAAAGTGCAACTACGATAAAACGGCAGAATTTGTCTTTCTTGAATTTGTCAATCACATCACTAGCAAGATATATCACCCTCTTGGAACGAAAACGGTAGCGATGGTGTAATATATAAGGGAATTAATTAAGTCTCTACTGAGATTAGAAAAAAATCGTTTACCGTAATGGCGTTTTCTGCTTCGCTGTTGGATATCCGTAACTCTTTCACCGGATATGGTCCACGCGTTTCACCAGACATCATCTCAACGCCGGTTTCTTCGTCCACTTCCGATTTCACATTAAGATCGAACATCGGTTGTGTGACGTCATCGAGGGCAGGTGTGCAACTCGTCCCATTAGTGGGTTTAGCGCACATTTCGGTAGCGATTACGGTAGATCGGCTTACGGTTGGCGACAGCCGCCGCTCGTCGTCGTCGTCGACTCGCGCTGGACGCAGCTGTTTGCGGCGTGAGCCACTCTCCATGTCATCAACACCTGAGCGAACTTATCTTATCAATTGGAACGCGAAAATAGTGTATGAAATCGAGAGATTACGAGATGAGGCACTGATGACGGAAAAGAGATTACGGACGGATGCGAAACGCAGTGGCCCGATAACACACGGCGATGTTATTGCGGTCTGATAAGCAAAAGAGAGAGCCAGACACGGCCAGGTGTATACAAATAACAATATTGCTGAAAATGTCTGTAGATAGCAAAATCTGCTAGCTAATCGTTCAGTAGATAAGAAAATGAAGCCATCAGTGCTGCAGAAGTGAAGGAATTTTTTCTCGAGGGCACAGAACATTGCTTTTATGATCATCCTGCGTATTTATATGCGCATCACATCCCGCTTGAAATTGTTGGAATATGTACTCATGGCCAAATCATCACTATATTTCCTTTCTGAAATAGACAATGACTCGCATTTGATGTGCGAATTTTATGACTTCCTGTTGCCATTAAAGTGAGAACTACTTTGACGAATCCTAACTGAGCTGTTCTGAAATAGACATAAAAAAAACCAAATGATTACTGAACCGCGCAGCTGCTGCACATCTATTTGTCTTTTTTTATCAATATTATATTAATATTTAATCGTTCCATCTTCTTTAATATAAATTTATTAATGACATGTTTTTGCATAAAGAAATTGCTAATTTTAGCTAATCTAAATCTTACTGCGATACCATATCTGACAACCTTCACTGATTGCTGACTGATGGAAAGCAGTGATTCACTTCTAAATGCATCTGATTTGATTTTTAGTGGAAACGTCTGCTTGGTAATTATGTTCTGATTTTGATTTTGTTGGGGAAGAGTAGCATTATATTTTTTTTCATCAGATAGAGATGGAAAGCTGATAAAAGTCAGTCCAAGCTGGGGATCAGGAATTTTTCTATCTGTAGATGTCGAAATTATTTTCAGCTCGTTACAAATTGACAGAAACGCAAGTCTCGCCAAGTTGGGTTAGTCCGATGCTTACATATGTGGGTTAACACCCACTCAACTAACGCTCAAGCCTCACCATTGAAACTCTACAGAATAGTAGTTTCAAAGCTGTTACAATGCTTTTTGGCTCGCACTTCGCTACCTCGCAGAATATGATCGACAGTTGTGGTTTTGTGATTGTCCGATTTTCGGAGCTTCTCCAAGCTTTGCGCCATCGTTGTTAACTCTAGAGACAGCTCCGAAGACTAGGTGAAGATGATAGAAGATTGCACTTTTCTATATCAGGTTGACGGTACACCAAATCACAAAACTCTTACTGCGGTCGTGCAGGCAAGCCCAACCCTCCGAAAAAAAAGTTTTCTAAGTAAAAAATTTTTTTTACTCCACCCGTTTATTCATCGTACACATTTCAATAAATTCTGGTTCAGAAATCTTTCATAACATCGAAATTGCGCTCCGAGAGTTTCTTGCGCTTCCTATGCTTCTACCCAAATGCACGCGAAGTAATGAGTATCGATCCACACAAAAATTTTTGTATGTATTTGACTGATTTCTCCAGTGTTACTCTAAAAGAAGCAGTAGTTTTGATACTAAGATACTTATATGGGTTATAAAAACGTGTAAGTGACTTGTTTATACTTGTGAATGATAAAAATAATTTTTAAAAATTTCAAAAATCCAAATTAGCCTTGTAAACCGGGTCATGGGTTGGGAAAATTTTTGGCTAACGCTATGCACCTTCGATTAGAAAAGGAAATTATTGTGTCCATTCCTTCTCTCGGTCGGGAATCCTGGGACCGCCACTGAGCTAACTTTTTCCCCGACTAACTCCACATTAGATATGTTTTATATTTGGAAAACACTAGCTGCTATACTTTGGTGATCTGCAAGGATATTGGACACTGATTTTCGATGGCTTTATCGAAGTCATCATTACTGGAAAACGACATCTGATGATGATCACGTTACCAAAAATACGGTTAAAAACTCTTCTAATCAGGTTAGATAGTGCTGATTAGCTCTTGAGCACATGACAGATAAGTAAATCGTGACTCAAAAAGTGTAGCATTTTCCTCAGTCAGATGTAACAATACATTTGAAAAAGTAATTGCGCTAACGATAATCGAATGATATTTTCTTGTCGAATTTTCCTGTTGTCTGATGTAAATCATGCGGTCTATGAGTTTCCAGAGATGGAAAGACAATTATTTTTTCTAACCGTAGCAAGAGTGATTGAATAGTACGTTTGAGAAAGAATTGATGAGGATATGTGGTGGTGGTTGCGGCAGAATCATTGTAAGGAGAAAGATGATAAGATCACCACAGTCATCTTCTCGCTGTTACGACGACTGTTTGCCCCCGTGTCACAAATGGATAAACGATTGATTCACTCGTTACATGCGTCGATTACGTTGTTCGCATTCCCATTTATGACCTCGGATTCACCAGTTCTCGAATAGTATTACATTTGGTACAGAGCGAAACGTAACAAGTAGAGAGGGTATTGATTGCTGGAAAAGTTGTTTTTGAACTTGGCAAAAGTTCCAGCTACCTAGAAAGATTCGGCCATTAACCTACGATTCCGGAGACAACTATTACTACCCTCAAGTAAGTTTCTAGATTCGCGAAATAGCCAGACATTTTAAAACATTTTGATGAAGCACATGAACCATTCTCTGCCGTAAACAGAAGGCTTTTTTTTTGCAGCAAATATTTCTCTTTGTAAATTTTTTTTGGTGAGATATGCGCACTTTATTTTTTGCCGCTTGAGAAGACCCGGTTCTGCCCTTTTACCACAAATCATTTCCAAGTCTATCTCTCAAGCGGCCCGTCCCACTGGGAAAAGCAAATGCATACTGACGAAAATCCTAGCTTACATACTGCTTTGAACGTCGCTTGAGGCAGGGTTTGCGTACCCAGAAGTATAAGTTAGAGGGCTCAGGTGACTTTAAAGCGCGTGGGTATACAAAAACCAAAAGTTTTTCCTTCCAAAATGTTCTGTATGTGCGATGTAGTGCTCTGCGCACGTCTTTTATCCATTAAATATACTAAGGACCAGTGGTGATCCAGATTTTTTTGGAAAAGGAGAGGAGGGGGGGGGGACAAAAGTTTTTCGAAACGAAAGAGCGTGGCTTCAGTACCACGCTTTCCGAAAGAAAGTTCTTCCAATGCTTCCCAAATTTTTGGTAGGTATGTAATCCGAATTTTTTGGAAGAAAGGGGCGTGGCGGCAGCAAAGCTCTTGAAGTTTTGTTCACAAAGCTATCATTTCAAAACTTCTGCAAAATTTATTTTCATTTGCAAGTTAGAATATGGTACTTGCACCTTTTCGTAAATTACATAGGAACTTTCAAGAATCTCGCACTTTCCAGCGTTCTTTTGAGAGCGTAGTTAGAATGAGCCTGTTTGCAAAGCGATTTTCCCGACCCCCATCACACAACGGCTATGACTAGTTCGAGAGGTAGAAAAATTGTTCTCCACTGTCAGAGACTCGCTTTTTGTGAAATCTCTGTTCTTTAGAACATTTGATTGGTTTTCAAGGTCTGCAAGGTTTTGCTAAATATGAACATAGTTGACGCAAAGAGATATGCTGTTTTTAACTGAATTCAATGGGCTAATGTTGAAGGATAATTCTTTGCAATTCCAAAGATAAGAATGATGAGGTTAAAAGCTATCTGATCTGCTCTGTTTCTAGCCTCTGAAGTGGACCTGCAGTCTATAAGAATTCAAAAGCTTGACTCGCCCATATGAGCGAGGTCAAAGAAGTGCCAAATCAGACCGTGTCTGCCAAAGACCGCGAAGAAAGTCTATGCTTAGGAGTCTATGGTTGCACCCATTTTCAAAATCAAGGGCTCTAAAATTACCACCTCAACCCCTAAACTAGTACAGTCAAGCAAACATAGTCAACCTGAACTTTGAGGAATGGGATATTTCGATTCTCCCTCAATCACTCAAGCTGCCACACGAGAGAAATACGCTTACGATTAGTCAAAAAAGTCGCTGACCTCGGTCGCGAATTTTTTGAAAGTTACTTATATGGGTTATAAAAACGTGCAAGGGACTTGTTTATATTTGTAAACTAGCTGGCATACCCGGCTCCGCCGTATGTTCCGAATAGAAAATTCCATTTCTTAACCGATCCGAACCAAACTTGGCACACATACACTTCGGGCCCCGGCGGGTGTCACAGTCCACTTTTCGTTATCGAATGATGTCGATTTTATCGATTTTTTGCAAAATTTGAGCTAGGGGGCTGGGATTTGGCACAGGGGGGTAATCGAGCATGCTGATTACGAATACAACATTAGTTTTTAGAATCGTGCATTACTTTTATCGATTTTATCGATTTTTTTTTGCAAAATTTGAGCTAGGGGGCTGGAATTTGGCAGGGGGTGTAATCGAGCATGCTGATCATTCCCACGGGGGTGATCAGCATGCTCGATTACCCCCCTGTGCCAAATCCCAGCCCCGTAGCTCAAACTTTGCAAAAAAATCGATAAAATCGATAAAAGTAATGCACGATTCTAAAAACTAATGTTGTATTCGTAATCAGCATGCTCGATTACCCCCCTGTGCCAACTCCCAGCCCCGTAGCTCGAACTTTTTGAAAAATCAAATAAAATCGATATAGATCGATGACAAGAAGTAGCCTATGACACCCGCCGGGGTCCGTAGTGTATGTGTGCCAAGTTTGGTCCCGATCGGTTCAGAAATGAAATTTTCTATTCGGAACATACGTACACACAGACATACAGACAGACAGACAGACATACATACATACATACAAACAGACATTCAGCTTTATATATAAGATAATTAAAATAATTTTCAAAAATTTTTGAAAAAACTAGCCTTGTAAAAAAATTTTTTCGGGGGCGTGGCTGACGCTACGCCCCCTTTTTCCAGATTTTAGGGGTTGGAGACCCGCAAAAATTTTGAGAAGCACCCCTAAAATTTTTTCGGAGTGCGTGGCTGACGCCACGCACCTTCATTTAAAAAATTTTTTTGTCGCCTCCCCCCCCCCCCCCCGAGCGGAAATCCTGG